GTAAAATACCACCATTTAAGGTTTCCAGGTTTTTAACTTATACATTTTTATACAAATCTACAAAAAAAGTCTTCCATTGTGATTTTCCTATGGTAAACAGATGTGCAAATGAATCTTTCTGATTCCAGAAGTCTGGGGTGATAGCTGTGTGTACCTCAGTGTGTAAATATTGTGTATTATGTTCTTGATAGAAATGTTACAGGACTAGACTCAACAAAGTGAGTATATTCTAGAGGGCTTGATTATGTTATGAATGCAAAACATTTTCAGAAACTTTGGCCACTTCCTACAATGAAAGTGTTGTCTATTTTTTGAGAGGTATATTATACTATTTTATATTACATTGCTATTAAATAACAATAACAATAACATTTTTATGCAGAATCAAAATTTTGCATAAATTCTTACCTTTGTACATGCAGCTAACCTTCCATTGGCAAACTTCAATTATGTTAATCAGTTACAAATACTTATCCAAGTTAGCCTATTGTGCTTTCTACTACCAAAAGTAACTTATACTGAAAAAGAATCCCCATCTTAACAATCTGAACTAGACTACTCATCTGTTGAGTTCAACATTAGCAGTGATTTGGCTTTAGGCCTTATTTGGTGTGACTCTTTTCAGTTTTAGGTTTTGCACGTGGGAAGTATGTCATAAAGATTTTCCAAAAGATTGAAAATCTAGGCTGAGGAGCAGACACCATATATGGGATGACAAAAGAACACAGGACACTATATTAGCAATTGCTTACTTGCACATGTATGATACTTTAAGACACTAATCCACAGGAAGTTAATAGTCCACCACAAAATAAGTGTCAGGGGCTCAAATAAATGTATTTGACTAATGTATTAAAATTTACATTACTATATTAGTTTTGTGCTCTGTAATTGTCCACGAATGACACAGTATTTCCAAAATATTCAGAATATGTTTTTCAAGTTATCCCTGTTATTACTAACTCTATTCCTATCTATCTCTTCAAATTGCTTTATTTTTCTTCTTGGGATTGATTACTACTAAATTAATGTTGTATTTATATATTCATTTAGCATCTAGCTCTTTTATTAGACAGTGATGGAAGGAACTTTGTTTTGTTCAATCCTATATCTTCAATGTGTTCAACATTTAAGAGATAGTCAAAAATATTTGTAATAAAATGTATATGTTTGGGCTTATTACTTATTATCCATATGACTGACTTGCAGCTTTTAATTTTCAGGTGCGCCTAATGAATGGGAAAGATGCCCCTATGCCGAATAAAATCATCTATATCACAGCACACGAAGCTAACTATCACTCCAATGCTACCACAGATGAGAATGGCCTGGTGCAATTCTCCATCAATACCACCAGTGTTATGGGTACCTCTCTTACTGTTAAGGTAAGTTAGAAAGAAGTTATCGATGACATGACGTAGCCTTAAAAACATGATTGCAACTTAAAAAGTGATGAAATTTCCGAACTGTGTTTAGTCCCATGGAGAGAAAAAACTAGCAATTAGGAACCAATTTAAGAACAACTTTTTATAAGTTTATGAAAAGGAGGCAGTATTTTGGTGGGGCTAAAAGTGTACGTTCCACTTCAGCAACATTGGTAGGAATGGAGTAAAATTGTGCCGCCACTATGTAAGATAGTATAGTAGTTTCTCTGAAATTAAAAAATTGAATTACTATATGATTAATAAACCTTACCAAAGAGTAGAAAGGAAGGTCTTGAAGAGGTATTTGCACACCCATGTTCATAGCAGCACTATTCCCAATAGCTGAGAGGTGGAACCTACCCAAATATCCACCAATGAATGAGTAAACAAAACATGGACAGTGTACGTATACAATGGAACATTACTCAGCCTAGGATTTCCAAAGGGAAGGAAGTCCTACACATGCTACAACATAGATGAACCGTGAGGGCATTATGCTAAGTGAAATAAGTTACTCAAAAAAGGAAAAATACCGTATGAGTCCATGTACATGAGGTTTCTAAAGTAGTCAAAGTCATAGAAGCAGAAGATAGAATGGTGGTTTCCAGAAGCTAGAGAGAAAAAGAAATAGGGATTTGCTATTTAGTGGGTAGAGAGATTCAGTCTTGCAAAATAAAAAGTCCTATGTTGCACAACCGATATCTTTAACAGTACCAAACTGTACACTAAAAAATTATGAAGATAGTAATTTTATGGTTTATTTTTATCACAGTTTTTTGAAAAGTATAAATTCCAGCATCAAAATCAAGTAAAGTGGTTAAAAATATTGATTTAACTCTATAGTAAGGGAAAATAACTAAAACCTCAATGCTTCATTTCATTATCTTTAAAATGGGCACAATATTAGTATCTAACTCTTGGCATTATTGTAAAGATTAAATAATACATGCACTTTGTAACCACTCTTTAACTGTTAAATACTTTTATTATAAAAGCTAATATTAACATAATTGCTTTTAGTTTTAAAAATATACACTCCATGAATTATTGTCTTACTATATTTTTATCTTGTTTTCTAATTTTCTCCAGACGACCTGTCTATTCCCATATAATTTGTTTTGTGTATGAGTAGGATACAGTCTTCTCTTCACCAACAGAGATATAGATATATGCTTGTAGATACATAAATACACAATATATATTACATTATCATAGTACTGGGAAACCCCTGCCTCATTTAGTATAAAGAAGATATAATGTTATTGATTTAGATGTAAATAGATAGTATAATATCCCATACCTCCAATGACTCAAATTTGAATGTTTATTCATTTATCAATCAAGATATGTCTTGAATGTTTTCTATTGTGCCAGGCACTGTGGTAGTCCTGGCAATGAAAATATTACTTTTAAATGCTCCCTCTTTGGGTTGGTCATATATATGTTATCACTACAACATATATTGAGACCCTATATATGAACAAAGTGTCTTGCTGGCACAAGGATGCATTCATTCTATTGACAGCTGTGGGTGAAGGACCCAGAGTTAAGGACCAAGTTCTACATGTAGAAATATTTGAAATAGAATCCAGTAGGGTCTATGAGGTATGAGAAGAATCCAGGACAACAGGAAACATGAAAAATTCTCAGCCTCATATTCCAGGAGAGGTAGGCTTTAGCTAATTCACCAACTCAACTCTGAAATCAATGGTTTTTACCAATATTTTCTCAAATACTGCAAATAAGGTTGCAGTATTTTATTTATTCATAATACTCATTTCAAACCCATCATGAAAAAGACTGTTCTGAAGCAGTTTTTTAAGATTACTTAAGAGATTCAGTGAGGTTTCATAGATACCGTGTCTCTATTTGCATAGGTAAAGTAGCCAAAGAAATTTCAAGCAAGCTAATCAGAGCGAAGGAAGCCTCCTTTTGTGTTTTTCAGCAATGTACATCTCAAACCTAGCAGCCTCTGCATGTAAAAGCATATATCGTGCCTGCATTTGACACAGATGAATAAAATAAGGAGTCCTTCTCTCTCACTTTTTATTGTGAAGTAAAATATTTCTAGCTACAAGTTAAAGTAGGACAGTAAACTTATACAGTTTTATCAGAACATTTATTCTTTATGACGTATCATCTATAAAATAATATTGAATGTTTTCCTAATTCATTAGGTCAAACACAGAGATCAAAACAGCTGTTATGGCTACCAGTGGATATCAGAAGAAAACCAAGAGGCCTACCACACTGCTAATCTCGTGTTCTCCCTGAGCAACAGCTTTGTGCACCTTGAGCCTGTGCTTGGGGAACTGCGCTGTGGCCAAACTCACACAGTCCAGGCACATTATATTCTGAAAGCTCAGGTCCTGAAGGAACTGAAGGAGCTTGTCTTCTATTACCTGGTGAGAAAGAAGTCACAGCATTGACTTATCTGTAGACAAAAGCTCTCTGCAGGGGCAAGTAATTATAAAGCTCTTTTTTTTTTAAATTTTGGATTAATACGAGAGGACATACAAGTAGGCTATATTGTTTGTGTATGTAGTTAAAGTCCAAGTCATAGTTGAGACCTTTACCTGTACATTGTTCCCACTAGGGGAGAACTCACCAAGCTCCCTCACCCACATTTCTTGAATTTAATTGAATTTTTTTCTCATGTGTGCACATTGTTGTTAATCTACAAATTTCAACTGACTACATGAGATGCTTGATTTTCCATTCTTATGATTCTTTTCTTCGGAGAGTGTTTAGGCATCACCACTTTGACTTTTTTTGTGACAGAGTCTCACTCTTTTGCCCTGAGTAGAGTGCCATCGCATGATAGCTCACAGCAACCTCAAACACTTATTCTCCGGAGTCCTCTTGCCTCAGCCTCCCAAGTAGCTGGACTACAGGCACCCACCACAATGCCTGACTATAGTTTTTTTCTATTTTTAGTAGAGACAAGGGTCTTGCCCTTGCTCAGGCCCTGAACTCCTGAGTTCAAAGGCTCCTCCTGCCTCGGCCTCCCAGAGTGCTAGGATTCCAGGAGTGAGCCACTACACCCAGCTATCTTGACTTCTTATGCATGTTCCTTTTGAAAGTTTTACTTCTCCTAGGGCTATTTATTGCCAGCAGAGGCTCAATACAGCAAGCATAACAAAGCAAGATTGGAATCTCTGTCAGACACATGAAATTCATTTTTGTTTCCTTTTTTGCAGGTAATGGCAAAGGGAGGTATTGTCCGAAATGGGACTCATGTCCTGCCTGTGAGGCAGGAAGATAGTGAGTATTTGCACAATCACATTGTTGCCCCATTCTGACATATTCACCTTCTTACTACAGAAATACCAGCATTACTTTTGAGAGCAGAAGGATCATTTCTCTTTAAGCACAATAAAGAAGAATTTGAGAGAGGGAAAGCAATAATGTTTCCTTTTTTCCTCCCTTAATCACATATCCATTTTTTTCTTCAGCATGTTCTGTTTGCATTATTATATGTTATTGTATATAACCTATGTTTATTCCAAATTTTTAAAGCATAAGTATTCTTGGATCCTCTTCTCAAAATGGGAAACATGTAAGAATTATTAGAGAATGGGGAGGAGGAAAGGTAAAATTTTGGGATGCATTCTTGTGCTGAGTCATTTATACCTTTATAAATATCTGATTTTCCCTTCGATGATGGTTATTATTTATAAAGGGTTAAATAGCATACTTCTACCATTGAATTGGACCCTTTCCATGAACAAATATGTGGCAATATAAACATTTGAAGGTTGCTCCTCATCTAATAGAGCCTAAATACAATGTGTTAAACTCTTCCTACTATATCTTGTAGCTTCAGGATCTATCTCCTTCTTCTAGTGTGGTGCTGATCAAATGGTAGGAAAATGGGTGTCTCCATACCCTTAGATAGCATCAGAACCATACAGAGGTGAGGTAATGCTTAAAATTGGTGAGAAATCAATACCGTATATGATTTATAAAAGAAAATGGATTTTGATAAAGTTTTTCCTAAAGCTAGTGTTTTATTCATCTGTTTATTGCATCTACTATTCTTTATATCTATTACATCTACTAACAGAAAGTCATTAACTGGACCAGCCTCCCAAAATGGCTTTGTGCCACAGAATAATCTCATGTCAGCCCTGAACAGAACTATAACCCATGATTGCTTCTTCTCATTCTCCCTGCTTCAGTGAAAGGCCATTTTTCCGTGTCTGTTCCCGTGTCGTCAGACATTGCCCCAGTTGCTCGGTTGCTCATCTATGCTATTTTACCGGATGGGGAAGTGATTGGGGATTCTGCAAGGTATGAAGTTGAGCGTTGTCTGGCCAACAAGGTGGGTGCTTGATATCACAAACTTCTCAACATTTCAAACTAGATGTGTCCCAAAAGTCACCCATAAAGTTGTCATAAATAGGGAAAATGGGAAATGATAGCTAAATGTACCTTTATTTACAAAATTCATTACAAAATTTTACAAGGAAATAGCGGACAGAAAATACAGTAGAACCTCTGTAAGTTGACCACCCAAGGGACTGTAACAAACAGGTCAACATATGGAGATGGTCAACATAAAGAACTAAACCTGCTGTACTAACATACATGTGGTACACATCCAGTCTATGAAAATTAGGCCAACTTAAGGAGGTGGTCAATGTAGGGAGGTAGTCACCTATGGATGTTCTGCTGTATTTTCTATATATTTTGTAAAATCATAGTAGCTACTATTGCTTTCATTTATCTTATACTTGTGAGCATAAGCGCCAAAAGAGTTAAACAGTCCCCAAAGACATTCAGCCAGGTAATGGCAGAGTCAAGATTGAAAAGCCCTGTCTCTTGATTCCTAATGCAAAACTCTCAAAATTCTCCTAGCGCCTCGTCTCTTACCAAATGACAGAGTTCAGAGTACTTGTTCCCTTTATCTTTGATGGAATGTTGGGAAATATATGAGGAAGATTTTAAGACTACTAAAGAGCCAGAACAAAAATACACCTAGACCCACATGCAATCCAACCGCAGTTAATGATTGCCTCACCTCATATCAAAGATTAAAAAATGACATGTCATGATTAGTAATTTCTAAGAATAACTAGACATCATTAAAATGGCTCAACTGATTCTTGAGAATGAAAGAGAATGGCAGGGCACAAAAAGCCTCAGGGCTGATATAACACCAGCCACCCTGAAGTCAAAGCAGTTATGCACCGAATATGAAGAACATTCAGAAAATGCAAGGGACGCATGGTTAAATCAGTAAATTTCCTTTTCTGACCTTTTCCCTCAATTTCACAGGTGAATTTGAGCTTTAACCCAGAGCAAAGTCTCCCGGCCTCACACGCCCACCTGCGGGTCACAGCTTCCCCCCAGTCAGTCTGTGCCCTCCGCGCAGTAGACCAAAGTGTGCTGCTCATGAGGCCCGAGGCTGAGCTCTCCCCATCCTCGGTGAGTTCCTGACAGGCTCAGGAGGTCAACAAGGGCCATGCAAGGGGCTCAAAGCAAGCAAAAATGCCTACCTGGGAAGGATAAGGATAACGTCTATTAAAAATATATTTATCTAGGAGTTAAGTTTTGAGCTCTTTCACATGTGCTGTGGATAACATTATATATTTATATAGGATATAGACTACTAGCCATTGCAGATAAACAAAAAAAGAGTAATAAAAATGTATTGCCATACAGCATACTGAAACGAATAAAAGAATTTTATAAACATAAAATATGATTTAAAAAATTAACATCAAAAGAGACCGAGGTTAGAGGATCAGTTAAGACCAGGAATTTGAGACAAGTATGGGCAACAAAGTGAAACTCTGACCCTGTGACAAATAAAACAATTAGCCAGGCATGGTGGCACATGCCCGTAGTCCCAATTACTCAGGAGGGTGAAGCCAGAAGATCACCAGAGCCCAGGAGTTGGAGGTTGCTGTGAGCTATGGTGACACCACTAAACTCTAGCCTGATGGACAGAGTGAAACCCTATCTCAAAAAATGAACAAATAAAACAGAAAAAGAACTTGTGACTAAGATTAAGGTTCTTGCTCAAGTTCCCATAGCCGTACGAATCCAAATCTCATGGTGTCAAGGCACTTATAAGCAGTCTCTGAGTTGCAAACATTTGACTGACATATGACTCACAGTTACAAACAGGGACTATTACAGGTAATAGGTAAATGTACCTGTTCCAACTTATATACAAATTCTACTTAAGGACAGACCTACAGAACCTACCTCGTTCGGCCTGGGACTGCTGATAAATATGCAAAACTGGAGAATATACAAGGCAGATTATGAAAAGTGCTATAAGAGAGGTGTAGATGTACAAACTACAAGGATTCATTCTGATTGCTGAATCAGGGAAGCCATTCATAAATTTTTATATGTGTATATTACATACAGAGGGGGCCAAAAATGTATACACATTTTAAGAAAGGAAAAAATTGTACTAAAATTATAACACTCAATATATAAGTATACTGATAACAAAAGATGAACACAGATCACATTAGGCACCTCTTGTAACTGCAGACGTCAAATGTGATTCGAGTATTACAAATTTAATGTGGTTTTTTCCTTTCTTGAAATATGTACACATTTTGGTCCCCATAGTATATTTTGTATATTTTTATTTAATTTTTAATTAAAATGATAACTGTATACATTTATGGGGTATGATGTGTTGATCTGGTAAACAATGTGGAATGTTTAAATCAAACTGACTAACATAACCACCATCTCACTTACTTATTTTTTGTGGCAAGACATTTAAAATTTACTCTTAGTTATTTTGACATATACCCTTACATTGTGTTGTATACATTATAGATATTTTATGTATAATGCAAATATTATATATATAATATGTATTACATTTATAAATGTAAAAAGAAAAAACATGCACTAGCCAAAGTCTCTGAAGCATCATGTCCAGTATTTCACAGTTACAGTTTTATGTATTTTGTCAAAAGCTGGAGGATTTTGCTTCCATGAATAATATGTAAGAAGATACTATCTTGACTCAGCGCCTGCGGCTCAGGTGGTTAAGGCGCCAGCCACATACACCTAAGGTGGCAGGTTCGAATCCAGCCCGGGCCCACCAAAACAACGACAGCTGCAACCAAAAAATAGCCAGGCATTGTGGCAGGCGCCTGTGGTCCCAGCTACTTGGGAGGTGGAGGCAGGAGACTCGCTTGAGCCCAGGAGTTGGAGGTTGCTGTGAGCTGTGATGCCACGGCATTCTACCCAGGCCAACAGCTTGAGGCTCAGTCTCAAAAAAAAAAAGAAAATACTATCTTGACCCATGTAGAGAACATATATTTATTCATATAACAGGTTAGAACATATATTCATTAACTTTGTTATATGTTGAATCAGTTGCTAATCACAAGATAAAAGGCAAAAACTCTGAGCACAGTACAATATCTCAAATATAGCAGACAAATTTCTCTATTTTTATAGGTTTATTTCATTCTAATTTTGAGTCTAGTGTTCGCTTCTGAACCATGTAACAAAAATATGATGACCTGTGAGTACTTAGATGAGAATGTTTTGGTTAAACATCTTCAAAATGGCAACGGTTTTTAGAGAAAATGATCCATATTCTTTTTCTAAATTATCAAATCAATGAGAGTACTCATGGTGATAATTCTTATTCTTTTCTCCTTGCATTTAAAAAAATAAACCACAAGTAAGTTTGCTTTTTTTGTTTCTTTGCATTTGTACAGGTTTACAACTTGCTTCCACTGAAGGACCTCACTGGTTTCCCAGGTGGTGTGAACCAGCAGGAGGACAGCAATGAAGACTGTGTTGAACATTACAACATCTATATTAACGGAATAACATATTCCCCAGTGCCAAATTCAAATGAAAAAGATATGTATAGCTTCCTGCAGGTAAATTCCTCACATTGTGGATGTTGAGTTTATACAGTTCTTAAAATATTGTGTATGGAAAAAAAATCATTTATTTTGATCCCTTATGGTTGAGGATAATGAGACAAAGAGAGCACGTGACCGCTCCAAGTTCGCTAATAGTAACAGGTCTGCTAAAATCTACAAAACTGAATGGCACTTTTTGGATTATTAATCAAACTTTCTTTTTTATTAAAACTCATTATTTTATGATATTCATAAATATCCCATATATAAAATAATTACTATTGAAGGAGCTCAAGGAAAGAATGAAATTACTTACGTAAGTATTCTCATGTCTCTTCTACAGATGTGAACGTCAAAAGTTTAATATTAAGCTAATTGGACTGCTTATCAAATTCAAAGAAAAGAAGCATGCACTGATATGTAATATCTATGTACTGATTAGGTGATAATTTTCTTTACAGGATATGGGCCTAAAGGTATTCACCAACTCAAAGATTCATAAACCCAAAGTATGCCCACGGCATGAACAGTATGAAACACGGACACCACAGATAGCTTATTTAGGTAAAAAATGATTAATAAAAATTTATTTCCTGATGTATTGAACTGAATAAAAGGATTTTTAGAAAGATAAAATGTAAACAAATCAACCAAAAAAGGACTTGTGATTGATAAATATGCGTATTGAGATTCTTGTTGGAGGTCATATAGCAATATAACCGCATATCTTCTGATTGTGTCAGGCCATTCACATGTGCAACTCTGGCAATAATCCAAGGCAGACTATGAGAGAGGTAATACACAAATATGCAAAGCAAAAGAAATATTAACTCTGCTTGAGGAATCAGATGTTATTTATGAAGAATTAGTTTCTGGCAAATGGAGATGTGTGAGGTTGAAAAGGGAAGAGAAAGTTTCCAAGCATAGAATCAGTGTAAACAGAAATAGAAGTGGTTATGAATGAGAACTACTTTTTCATCTATCAATATTCATCAGCCAATATTAATGTTGGAACCACAAGCATTCATCAATGATGTGAGCTTCTTTGTTGATAAATCAATTAATAATCAAGTGTTTATGTATAATCTGACATTCCCAAATCATGATTAAGCATACGTTAAATACACACAGAAGAGGTTCAAAAAGCAAGGAAAACGTTCAATGAGAATCAATTGGCTATATGATACTACCAGAAAGATTATTGTGTATATTTACATTATTTATAAATTACATTCTACAATCTTTTATCAGTACCATTTACAGTAAACTAATACATACAAGTATGTATATGCACGATTTTTTCAGAGATTTGGTTATTAAATATTTACCAGCATAACCTTAACAGATAGGGAATAGGGTGAAAGAACCTAACTAACTTCCAACCCAATATGGAATAAAGGGACTTGTTCATCCTTGATCTTTCCACTCCTGTAAACTGTTTCCCCAAGCCACTGCCACATATCTGTGTCACAACTGAGAAACACACCAATGGGAAATACGACTACTGCTTTCCTCCCAACCCCATGTCATAATACCGTCCTCTTAGCATAATGGCACAGCCACAGAGGACTCCAGAGCCCTTCTGCTCACAGGCAATCCAAGGATCTTTCTGCCAAGGTCTCTATGTCCTCTGCTAATGATCTTCCCCCAGCTCACTCCTAGCTTCTAATACATCAGAATTCAGCCGAAATATTACCTTCTCCAAAAAACTTTTTCTACACCCAAGTGCCCTCTTCCTGGTTCTTCTCTGTTTCATCACCCTTTATGTCTCTGATAGCACCTACTACAAACTCTCACAAGTTTTAACTTTAATGTTTATTTTTCTTCTTCTCTCTCACCCTAGTAGATTCAGACCTAGCACAAAGAGGCTTCTCGGGTATGGCGATGATCCAAGTAAATGAGGCTCCCACAGAGATTGTACGAAAGTACTTCCCTGAGACATGGATCTGGGATTTGGTGGTGGTGAAGTAAGTATCATTTTTTTTTCTTTTTTTTTAGACAGTCTCACTTGGTCACCCTTTGTAGAATGCCATGGCATCTTAGGTCACAGAAACTTCAAACTGTTGGGTTCAAGTCATCCTCTTACCTCAGCCCCTCAAGTAGCTGAGATTACAGGCACCCACCACAAACAGCACTTGACTTTTTTCTTTTTTTAGAAACAGGGTCTTGGGGGGAATGGGTGGAGGGAGGGTGATTGGAGGGATCACTTCTATAGTTTATCTTACAAGGGTACAAGTGAATCTTTCTAAGAGTAGAGTATGATTGTCTTAACACAATAACTAAGAAAATGACATGTAGGCTATGTTAACCAGTTTGATGAAAATATTTCAAATTGTATATGAAAACACCACACTGTACCCCAGAATTGCATTAATGTATATAGTTATTACTTAATTAAAAAAAGAAAAGAAAAGAAAAGAAACAGGCTGGTCTTTTGCAGGCTGGTCTCAAACCTGTGAACTCAACAATCCACCCACCTCAGCGTCCCAAAGGCTGGGATTATAAGCATAAGCCACTGTACCAAGCCAAGTAGCGTCCTTTATGTACAAAATGCAATACAGATTCCTCACTATATTCAATTCTTAGCTAATTATTCTGTTTTTATTATATATATTGACAATGTGCAACACGATGTTTTAATATACCTATACATAGTGAAATGATTACAACAATCAAGAAAATTAACATATCTATCACCTCACATTATTACCTGTTTTTGTGCATGTGGCAAGTGTACCCAGAAATCTATCCTCTTAGCCAATTTCCAGTTGACAATATATTATCAACTATAGTCTTCATATGGTACCTTAGAGCTCTACATTTATTTACCCTACCTAACTGCAACTTTGTAGCCTTTGACCTAAATCTTGCCATCCATCATGCTATTCTCTGTTTCTGTGTGTTCAGCTTCTTTTAAATTACACATGCAAGTGAAATCATGTAATATTATTCTCTCTATGTGTTTTATTTCACCTAGCACAGTGTCCTCCAGGTTCATCCATGCCCTCACAAATGGCAGGATCATTTTCTTTTTAAGGCTGAATAATATTCCATTATACAAACACACACACATCCCTACACATAAAATTTCTTTATATATTCATCCACAGACAGATGCTTAGGTTGTTTCCCTATTTTGGCTACTGTCACCAATGCTGCAGTGGACATACGCATGCATATATATCTCTACAAGGAGATGCTCATTATATTTCTTCGGAGTAAAAACTCAGAAGAGGGATTTCCAAGTCATACCATATTTTCATCTTTAATTTTTTGAGGAATTTTCATACTGTTTTCCATAATGGCTAACCAGTTTATATTCCCACCAACATTATAAACACCAAGGAAGTATGAATACACTCCTTCCAGAGAAAACTTGGAGTCTCAGTTTATCACTATCCCTTATAGTGATCGGCAGGGAAGGAAGGGCAGGGAAGAAGGGCATTTTCCTAAACTCCTTTTCGTGCCTCTGGAGGACTATTGTTTACCTGTCAATCCTCAGGCAGCAACTGAGACAGTGTGTAAACAAACCACTTCCAAGGAGAAACTGACAGCTGTTGGCTAATTTTTCAGTTATTTTTAAATGTTTTTTTAATTAAATCATAGCTGTGTACATTAACACAATCATGGGGTACAATGTGCTGGTTTTATATACCATTTGAAATATTTTCATCAAACTGGTTAACATAGCCTTCACGGCATTTTCTTATTGTGTTAAGACATTTATAGTCTACACTTAGTAAATTTCACATGTACCCTTGTAAAATGCACCATAGGTGTGGTCCACCAATTACCCTCCCTCCACCCTTCCTCCACAATCCCCTCCCCTCCCTCTCCTCTTTTTCCTTCTTCTTGGGCTATAATTGGGTTATAGGTTTCATAAGGAAGCTATAAATTGGTTTCACAGTAGGGCTGAGTACACTGGATACTTTTTCTTCCTTTCTTGAGATACTTTGCCAAGAAGAATACGTTCCAGCTCCATCCATGTAAACATGAAAGAGGTAAAGTCTCCATCTTTCTTTAAGTCTGCATAATATTCCATGGTGTTTTACCACAATTCAGTAATCCATTCATGGGTCAGTGGGCACTTGGGCTTCTTCCATGACTTAGCAATTATAAATTGAGCTACAATAAACATTCTGGTACAAATATCTTTGTTATAAAGTGATTTTTGGTCTTCTGGATATATACCTAGTAGAGGAATTGAAGGATAAATGGCAGGTCTATTTTTTGATCCATAAGTGATCTTTCCAAAAGGAACATATTAGTTTGCATTCCCAACAGCAGTGTTTCTCCACATTCATGCCAACATCTCTGGTTTGGGGATTTTGTGATGTGGGCTAATCTTACTGGAGTTGGATGATATCTCAAAGCGGTTTTTTTTTTTTTTTTTGCAGTTTTTGGGTTTGAGCCCACCACCTATGGTATATGGAGCTGGTATCCTACTCCTTTGAGCCACAGGCACCGCCCCCCTCAAAGTGGTTTTGATTTACATTTCTCTGATGATTAAGGATAACGAGCATTTTTTCATAATATAGGTACTAGTTCCTCTTTAAAGGTTTGGTAGAATTCTGATGTGAAGCCATCTGGTCCCAGGCTTTTTTTTTTAGGGAGATTTTGTATAGCCAATGCTATTTCAGAACTCGATATAGGCCTGTTCAACATTTCCACTTCATTTGGCCTAGGTCTAGGAAGGTGGTGTGCTTCCAAGTATTGGTCTATTTCCTTCAATTTTTCATATTGAGAAACTCTGAGAATAGAGTTTCTTGTAATATTCATTAAGGATTTTTTGAATTTCTGAGGAGTCAGTTGTTATTTCATCTTTGCCATTTCTGATTGATGAAATTAGAGATTTTATTCTTTTTTTCCTGGTTGGATTAGCCAAATGATTATCTATTTTATTGACCTTTTCAAAAAACCAGCTTTTTGATTTATTGATCTGTTGTATAATCCTTTTGTTTTCAATTTAATTTAATTCTGCTCTAATTTTGGTTATTTCTTTTCTTCTGCTGGGTTTGGGATTGGAATGTTCTTCCTTTTCCAGTTGCTTGAGATGTCCCATTAAGTTGTTAACTTACTCTCTTTTCATTCTCTTTTTTTGTTGTTGTTCAATTTTACATACAAACTTTATTTTTGTTTTTTGTTGTTGTTGTTGTTTTTATAATTAATTATTTTTTATTAAATCATAACTTTGTACATCTTTCTGTTCTCTTAAGGAAGGCTTGCAGTACTATAAATTTCCCTCTTAGGACCGCCTTTGCAGTATCCCAGAGGTTATGATTTGTGTCTTCATTATCGTTTTGTTCCAAAAATTTGGTAATTTCCTTCTCAATCTCATCTATGACCCAGCCATCATATCAATAACCTTATGCTAGCTTAACCTTAAGGTTTCCATGTATTTGTATGAGTATGCAGATTCCTGTTGTTACTGAGTTCAACTTTTATTCCATGATTCTCTGAGAAGATGCAAGGAATAATTTCTATTCTTTTAAAATTGCTGAGGTTAGACTTGTGACCTAAGATGTGATCACTTTTGTAGTATGTTCCATGGGCTGATGAGAATGTGTATTCAAGAAGAATGTGTATTCAATTTTGTTAGGATGAAATGTTCTGTAGATGTCTCTTAAATCCAATTGTTGAATGGTTAAGTTTAAGTCTAAAATTTTTTGCTGAGCTTCTTATTGGAGGATCTATCCAACACTGCCAAAGGAATGTTAAAATCTCTGACTATTATGGAGCTGGAGGAAATCAAGTTCCTCATGTCTGTTAAGAGTTTCTCTTATAAATTGAGGTGCATTCTGGTTGGGTACATAAATATTAATAATTGAAATCTCATCATGTTGAGTGTTACCCTTAACAAATATGAAGTGATCATCCTTATCTTTCCTTACTTTTGTTGGTTTAAAGCCTATTGTATCTGCAAATAGAATTGCAACACCTGCTTTTTTACTGATGTCCATTTGCCTGAATTATAGCTGACCATCCCTTCACCCTGAGTCTATATTTATCTTTTAAGGTAAGATGAGATTCTTGTATGCAGCAGATATCTGGCCTGAGTTTTTGTATCCAGTCAGCCAACCTGTGCCTCTTTGGAAGACAATTTAAGCCATTCACATTAATTGAGAATATTGATAAGCCTAGTAGAATTTAGGGTATTGAGTTTTTCAATAGTCCAGTGGACATTTTTAATCCTTTCACAACTGTGGAAGTTGGGATTTGATGTAAAGTTTCTGAGTGAGTTTACTTTTGTTGTGGAGGATCGCACTGGTCAATATGGAAGATAGGTCTGAGAATATCCTGGAGAGCTGGTTTAGTTATGGCAAATTTCTTCAACATGTGAATGTCATTAAAGTATTTAATTTCTCCATCATAAATGAAACTCAGTTTAGCTGGATACAAGATTCTGGGTTGAAAGTTATTTTGTTTTAGGAGATTAAAAGTCTATGACCTCCCTCTTCTAGCTTGAAAGGTTTTAGCAGAGAGATCTACAATCATTCTTGTATTCTTGCCCTTATAGGTTATGGTTTTCTTATGTCCGGTTTCTTTCAGAATTTTCTCCTTCATATTAACTTCATATTCACTTTAGTGAAGTTAATGATGATATGCCTAGGAGAAGTCTTATTCAGGTTGCATCATGCTGGGGTACTGAAACTGTCTGCTATCTGGATTTCAGAATTTCTTAGCATGTCTGGAAAGTTCTCCTTCATAATCTCATAAAGAAGGGCCTCTGTGCCTTTCAAAGCCACCTCATCACCTTCTGGAATTCCTATAAGGTGAATATTAGTTTTCTTTTAATTATCCTAGAGCTGTCTGAGAGAATGATCCATTTTTGCTCTTCATTTCTCTTCCTCTTTGAGCATTTGGGAGCATTCAAAAGCTTTGTCTTCAATGTCAGAAATCCTTTCTTATGCTTGCTCCATTCTGTTACTGAGGGATTCTACTGTATTTCTCAGATCTTTGAGGGCTGCAAGTTCTTGTCTCAATGTGTCAAAATCTTTGGTGATTTTGTCTTTGAATTCGTTGAATTCTTGAGGCAACTTTTGAAATGCTCCTTGAATTTCTAATTCCAACTTTACCTTCATTCTATTAATCTTATTTGCAATCCAAACTCTGAATTCAATTTCTGGCATCCCAGCCATTTGTCTATGAATGGGATCTTTAGTTGTGTCCACCATATCATTCCTTGGGAGAGTTGATCTGCTCTGGTTATTCATGTTACTGGAGTTTTTCCACTGATTCTGCCCCATAATTATTTTACACCATTTGGCTAGATGAGCAGATAAGGTAAAGTTGGGTTGGAGTCTCCTGGAGTAGTGATTAACCTGCCATTTGCCCAAGAGCTGTGACTGGTGTCTATACCTTTTCCCCTGAGCTTTGCAAAGGACCTGTACAGTGCTACGGCCTGACACTGGGGATCTGCTTGGTGTGGTGGGGCTAAGTGGCTCTGTCTTGTTTTCACTTGGTCTCTGTACAATCCTAGTGAATCAATAACTCTGGGTTGAAGTCTCAGCCTTTACTCATGGGGCCTGCATTTTTATCCCAGATCTGTTCTGCCAGTGGCTACCACCAGAGTAGAGCTAATTTTTCAGTATTGAAGCACTTTAGGAAAGAGATCCTAAAGGGCACATTGATATTTTCAAGAGTGGTTCAGCACAAATACTTCTGTTACCAAGTCTCACTAAATGCATCAGAGCTAAGAAATTTTGCATAAATTTAATTCTATGATTTTCCCCAAATTGGCATAAGGACAAAATATAACAGAGATTAATACCTGTAAGAGTGTTAATTGGTCAACAATCTTGGGCTAAGCACAGATCCAGTCAGGCCAACTATACACAACTGTAGTAGAATTAAAAAGTATAAAGCAATCCTCAGTAAAATAGCCTTTTAGAGAAAAGAACTTAAGGATAATCTCAAATTATAAATTTCTACCTATTTTGTGTGTAAAAGGTTATGCTGCAACTGTATGGCTGTAGGAGATTCTGAGATAGACTAGCATTGAAAATAGAATTGGAAGAAATGAAGGGCTTACATTTTTCCATCTCAAGCTTTGATTCTATTCTCAATTATTGATATTGCTATGGAATGCATACATGTCATGACAATAGAATCCTTTATAGGGATTCTCATCCCAGAAAGGATTTACTTAACTACGTTCTTTCTGTTCTTCACATTGTCATCCTCCCCAGCTCATCGGGTGTTGCAGAGGTGGGAGTATCAGTCCCTGACACCATCACAGAGTGGAAGGCAGGGGCCTTCTGCCTATCCCAAGACACTGGACTTGGTCTCTCTCCCACTGCCTCTCTCCGAGTCTTCCAGCCCTTCTTTGTGGAGCTCACAATGCCCTACTCTGTGGTCCGTGGAGAGGCCTTCACACTCAAGGCCACAGTCTTAAACTACCTTCCCGAATGCATTAAGGTAAGGATCTCTTTCCTAAATTGAACACAAGGTAGCAATCACATAAATTAAAAGCTGCTTTCTTAGGAGTATTAACAAACTCTTGTGTACAAGATATGTATACTAGAGAAGGAATATTATCAGATATTCATGTGTTGCATGAGTTACAGTTGCTATTTCCAAATAAAAAATTGCAACTAAATTTCTAGACCTTTTCATAACTCTTTAAAGTTAGGTACTTCAGGTAATATGATGATTTCTGACCCAGGCAACAAAAAAAATCAGTAATCTTCATTCTCATGTCTTAGATTATTCAAGGTTTCAACCTCTGCATTCCCATATATTTAATTTTTCATAGCTCATTCATTATATTAAGCCTAATTTTAAGTTATTTATGAGCATCTTACCTGTACTGAAACCATATCTCTTTGTAAATCATGTATACTCTGCTGGGAAAGCTGAGGAGATGGCCAAAACAGTAGAGCAATAAGCCATGATGACATCTCTTCTCTGCTCCCACCACAGAAGAGCAGGTTGCAACCAAATACTCAGATTTAGACATCAGATCCACCTAGATGTACTAAAGGTGCTTTGTCTTTGTTTGAATCTTCATTGATATTAGCAACCTGAAATTTTACCAGTCCCTCCGTATGCTTTTCTTCAAACCCATTCTCTCTCTAGTCTCCTTCTCCCTCTAATTTGTCTCATGTGTGTTTTCAGGTCAGGGTGGAGCTAGAAGACACTCCCACATTCCAAGCTGTCCGTGTGGAGAATGAACCAGAGTCTCACTGCATCTGCGGGAATGGGCGGCAAACTGTGTCCTGGGCAGTAACCCCAAAGTCACTAGGTAAGGGACAGACTACTAGAAATAATTCTCTACTCAAAAATTGCATCTATCCATGGGAACCTTATATTTAGTACTACTTTCCTTAGGAAAAGGCCCCTAGATGGTACAATATGATTTGTTGTCTTTAATATAGGAGTGCCTAGAAAGATATCTCCAAACATCTCACCTTGGATTTTCAGTATCATTAGCCTCTCTTTGTGCTATTTCCATTCTTGCTCCTGTGTTTTTATGAAAAAAGTTAAAGCACAGTGTTGAACATTTACAAATCTTGAAATTGAAAGCATGAAGGAAGGGGAAGGTGATACTCATCTCTGTTGGCTCTTTTCTTCAGGATATGTGAATTTCACTGTGAGTGCAAAGGCACTAGAATCTTTAGAGTTGTGTGGGACTGAACTGCCTATGGTCCCCGCCTATGGAAAGAAAGACACAATCATCAAGCCCCTGTTGGTTGAAGTAAGTAAGCCTACTCATTGGACAGGTCACACTGAGTTGCACAAAATGATAGTGAATCCAGTTGGGGTTTCCACTTTTAAGTAAGAAGACCTAAGTACTATATGGTTCATAATATCCATAATAATAATATAATAATGTACATGAATAATATAATAATATTAATAGTCATTATGGATAATATCAAAAGTTATTATGGATATTTTACAATATTATTCTTCTTTGCCTACCTGCCCATCTGTCATCTCTGTGTCTCTCATTTTCTTAATTTTTCCTTTGCTTTCTTTCTCATGTATCAACCTGCTGCCTTCAAATAGCTTATACTTATAGGGTTTACTTATGTAATACAGTTCAAATTCCTCTCTTCACTATCCAGAAATCTGTGGTCCCCCTATCAATACACATGTTCTGAGGGTTGGTCCATTCCCATCTCTAACTTTTTTTCTTTTCTTTAAAGCCCGAAGGACTAGAGAGAGAAGTGACATTCAACTCCCTGCTTTGTCCATCAGGTAAGACTCAATCATCATAACTTAAAAGCATTGGCTAAAATTTATGTGACACTTGACATTCAAAGAACTTTTGTATGTTACTTTTAAAACTTTCCCTATGAGGTAAAACCTGGAGTACCATCAGAAGCCAAGTAATTTGATCAGGAGAAAATCTTTAGTCCATGCATTCTAAGTCTTGATCTCTTCCAGCACTTATAGAAACACCAAAATGTTTTTCTAAATAGGAAGTGGTGTGGGCATAGGTACAAAGTAGGTAAAGTCAAAATGAATATTGCCAGAGGGGATATTTCCTTGAAGGATTACTAATATAACACATGGATAGCTGAATTCAGAGCATTCCAATACTGAGTTTTACATAGATGACATCATTTGATAAAGGGACTGTGCCATTTCCCAAAGAAAGAGTTGTCATGGTCTTTACCATTATTATCATATTAATATTTATTAGCTGCCAGTACTGTACCTAATGCACTATCATTTGAGAAGGGATAGAAGAAACTTATGATAAAAAGTATAACTTTATCTTAGTGAAGAATTTTCCACTCTAAACAAAAACATTTATAGAAATACAGTACACTAAGACATTTGGTAGAAAACCTAAATGCAAAGCAAGCAGGTGGGAGAAGGCAGGGGTGGAGGGGTAAATTCACTCCTAACAGGTACAGTGAACACTGTCCAGGTGAGGGGCACATTTATAACTTAATGCAAACTGTACAGAAACAATTCACGTAACCAAAATATTTGTATCCCTATAATATTCTGAAATTTAAAAATAATAAAATAAAATAGTATTTTTTTAAAGAGAAAACCAAAGTGCACTGAGAAATGTGTTAACACAACATGTTCTTACTCCAGTCAATATCAAATCAAAATCAAATATATGTTCATTGCACCCTCTCTGTCTGCCTACTAATGCCTTTTTGCTGCACTTTTTATTGTGAAGACTAACATATAAAATGTGCCCTAAAAACCTTATTTACTAAATTTTTAGCCTTATTTCTACACTTAAGTGCCTTTAGTACTAACCACTCAATCCTTTTTTCATGACTTCCCCATTTCTGAGTTATTCATTTTGATTTATCTATCTCTCAGATACCAATACCAATCATCAAGAAATTTTAATGAAATCCATGCAGATAAGTTTAATTATCCCTATAATTATACAAAAATACATTGTCTTTTAAGAAAACAAAACAGAATATCATATGAAAAGCTAATATCAAAAAAAAAAAGCTAATATCACTCCCTTGGAATATTTTTAATACTTTGATGATTATCTATGGACCTTTAGAAATAATATATGTAGATGCATGTGTTTTCACATATGTCACATAAAAGGTATTACACAAATCATACAACTTTCTCTCTACAAGTCACTCTTTGTTTTTTACTCAGCAGTCTGTCTTGGAGATCTATCTATGCTAAGTTGTAGATACCATCATTCCTTTTAGTTGCTTTTAAGTCTATAATATCAGTATATTTTTAACCTTCCCATATTGGTTTTTCCAACTATTTGTTTGTAAAAATAATAATAATTAATTAATTAATGATAATAATAGCCTTCTTGTTTACATATGTGAGGATAGGTAGGGTAGATGCCAAAATGGTAAATTCCTGAGTTAGGGGTTGTATGCCTATGAAGTTCAGCAATTAAGTTCACAAACTCATCCTAGAAAAAGTGCTATATACCTCATTGCTGAATATCACTGTAGTCACCTTTGAAGAGCTCACCTTGGGAAGCTGTATACTTGATGCCAACACCTAATCCATCCTTCAAAGCACCCTTTTTCTGGAATGACCATCAGAGCTGTCTATTGTACAACACACAAAAACATGAAACAACAATAATGACTGCCCCTCAGGAAGACACCACCACACATTGACATGAGCACAGCTGTGAGACACTGATAAATCAAGGTTATGAAACTTTACCAAGTTGTTTGTACAGTGCTGCCAACATTAAGTGCACAGTGGCATGTTTGCAAACTTAATTGTCAGACCTTGTACAATGGATTGGTTGACCATTTGTATATCTTAGTTTGAAAACCATTTTTAACTGGGCTATTTGTTTCTTGCTGTTGTTTGAGTTCCTGATATATTTTGGATATTCACTCCTATCAAAGGAGTAAATATTATTAGTTTGATGTAATCCTATTTGTTTTTGCTTTTGTTTTTTGCACTTTTGGAGTCAAAACCAAAAAAAATTATTGCCCAATCCAATGTCCTGTAGTTTGTCCCCTATATTTTTTCTAATAGTTTTATGTCTTACATTTAAGTTTTTAATCCATTTTAGTTGAATTTATCATGTAAAATTTTACTCTTCTACATGTGGTTATTCAGTTTCTCCAACACCATTTATTGAAAAAACTATAGTTTTCCCTTTGTGTTTTCTTGGCAATTTTGTCAAAAATCAATTTATCATGCATGCATGGATTCATTTATAGGCCCTCTATACTGTTCCATTGGTCAACATGTCTACCTTTATACTAGTACCATACTGTTCAAGTTATTATAGGTTGGTAATATACTTTGAAACTTGATATCTCTAAGTTTGTTCTTTTTATAATGATGCTTTGGCTATTTGAGTTTTGTGTATGTGTGTGATTTCATGTGAATTTTAAGACTGCTTTTTCTATTTCTATGAAAAGTGAAATTGGAATTTTGATGGGAATTATAATGAATCTGTTGATCACTTTGGGTAGTATGAATGTTTTAATAGTATTAATTCTTCCAGTCCATGAACACTGGATATTTTTCCATTTATTTGTGTCTTCTTCAATTTCTTTCATTAGTGTTTTATTGTTTCAGCATACCTTTTACTTTTTTATTTCTACATATTTTTTCTTAGTTATTGTGAATGGGATTATTCTCTTGATCTTTTTTTGATAGTGTGTGGTTTGATTTTTGTGTCTTGCAACATTACAGTATTCATTTATGAGTTCTAACTGTTTTTTAGTAAAGTCTTTAGGATTTTCTATGCATATGATCATGTCATCACAAATAGTGAAAATTTTACTTCTTTATTTCCAATTTGGATACTTTTTCTTTTTCTTATCTGATTGCTTTTGCCAGTACTTCTTTGAAAAGAAATGGCTAGAATGGACATCCTTGTCTTATTCCAGATCTTAGAAGAAAGACTTTTAATTTTTCACTGTTGAATATAATGTTAGCTGTGGGCTTATCATCTATGGCCTTTCTCATGCTAAGGCTCATTCTTCTTTCTATACATAATTTGTTATGAGTTTTTATTGTAAAAGAATGTTGATTTTTGTCAGTGCTTTTTCTCCATCTAATGAGATGGTACTGTAATTTTTGTTCTTTATCCTGTTAATGTTGTGGATTTGCATGAGTTGAACAATTTATCCCAGGGATAAATACCCATGTCATTGTGGTGGATAACCATTTTAAAGTGTTATTGAATTGGATTTCCTACCCTTTTTGTTGTTGTTATTTTTTAGAAGAAGATTTTCACTATGCTACCCAGGTTGGACTCAAATTCCTAGGCTCAAGTGATCTTACCACCTCAGCCTCCCAAGTAGTTGATAGTTGGGATTAAAGACAAGTGCTACTGTGCCTGGATGGTTTGCTAGTATTTCACTGAGAATTTTGGCATCTATATTCATCAAAGATACTAGTGTGTAATTTTCTTTCCTTGTAATGTCTTTGTCTAGCACTGGTATCTGGGTAATACTTCTAAATTCATAAAGTGCATTCCTTCCTTTCTATTGTTTTTGGCAAAATTTGAGAAAGATTAGTATTAGTTATTTTTAAATGTTTGGTAGAATTCTAACGTGAAGACATCAGAAATTTGGCTTTTTTAAGAGGAAAAATTTTTATTACTGATTCAATTTCCTCACACATTATTCTATTCAGATTTCTAATTCTTTATGATTCAGACTTAGTAGTCTGTATACATCTAGGAATTAATCCATTTCTTCCAAATTACCTATTTTGTTGGTATGTAATTGTTCATGATAATCTTTGTGATCCTTTGTATTTCTGTGGTACCAAAAATAATGTCTCCTCTTTCCTTTCTGATTTTATTTGAGCTTTCTCTCTTTTTTCTTAGGCTATGCAAAAGTTTGTCAATTTTGCTTACCTTTTAAAAAAACAACTCTTAATTTTATTGATCTTTCATATTGCTTTTCTAGTTTCTATTTGATCTATTTCTGCACCGCTCTTTATTATTTCTTTCCTTCTGCCAATTTTGGGCTTAGTTTGTTCTTTTTCTAGTTCTCTGAAGAGTAATGTTAAGTTCTTTGATTTTTTCCTTCTTTTTCAGCATGCATGTTTATTGCTATGTATGAACTTTCCTCTTAGAACTGCTTTTGCTGTATTTTAAGTTTTGATATGTTGTGTTTCCATTTCTATTAAATTTAAAAATTTTTTTGAATTTCCTTTTTAACTTCTTCATCAACCCACTGGTTGTTCAGAGGTATGTTTTTTAATTTCTGTGTTTTTGTGAATTTGTCCTAATTCCTCCTGTTATTGTTTTCTGGTTTTATACAATTGTGGTCAGAAAAGATACTTGATATGATTTCAGCCTTCTTAAATTTGCTAAGAATTGTTTTGTGACCTAACATATGATCTATCCTGGAGAATATTTCTTGTGTGCTTGAGAAGAATGTATATCCTATTGTTGCTGGGATGAAGTGTTCTGTATATGTTGATTAGGTCCATTTGATGTGTTATTTTTTATTTTTTTAATAGGCCTTATATGGATTTTAAGGCTCATCTGCTCTAGTGTTGCTCAAGTCCAGTGTTTCCTTATTAATTTTCTGTCTGGATGATCTATATATTTCATAAGTAAGGCATTGAAGTTCCCTACTATTGTTACACTGTAATCTTTTCCCTCAGATCCTTTAATATTTGTTTATGTACTTAGGTGCTAATATTGGGTGCATATATATTTACAAAAGTTGTTATATCGTCTTGATAACTTGACACTTTTATCATTATATAATATTCTTCTTTTTTTTACAGTTTCAATTTAAAGTCTGTTTTGTATAAGTATAGCTACCCTGACTTGTTTTTTGTTTCCATTTGCAGGTAGTATCTACCTTTCTCTTTCCTTTCCTTTTCAGTATATATGTGTCCTTAAAAACGTTGAGTCTTACTTAAGCAGCATGTCGTTGGGTCTTGCTTTTTGTTACTCTGTTCAGTCACTCTATGCCTTGTTACTGGAGAATTTAATCTATTTACATTCAACATAATTATTAATAGAAAAAAACTTACTGATACCATCTCATTCATTGTTTTCTGTTTGTCTTGGAAATACTTTTTTTCCTCTTTTGCTGTTTGCCATTGTGGTTTGATTTTTTTTTATAGTGGTATGCAAATCTTTTTTATCTTTGTTTTACATTTTCACTTTGTGAGTTCTCATGAGGCTTACCTAGAGCATCTTATACTTACAACAATCTATTTCAAGCTGATAATGACTTTGAATACTTTTATTCCTCCATACACATTTCATGTTTTTGATGTCAGGATTTGCATCATTTTGTAACATGTATCTATTGACAGTGTATTTTAGCTATAGTTATGAATATTTTTGCCTTGTATCCCTCATGCTATGGATAAAATTGGCTCATACATCACCATCACAGTTACAGCATATTCTGAATATAGTTTTGTACTATTTGTGCCATTAAGTTTTGTGTTTTGGTACTTTTTATGTTATTACTTAGCAGCCTTTAGTTTTGGCTTAATAAACGCTCTATAATTTCTATAAATAATTCTTCTAATGCAGGCCTAGTGATAGTGAACTCCCTTAGCTTTTCTTTGTCTGGGAAGTTTTTATTTTTCTCTCATTGCTAAAAGACAGCTTTCCTGCACAAAGAAAGCATTCTTGGTTTACAGGCTTTCCCCCATCCCTTCAGGACAGCGAATCTATCACTTTCTCCTGGCCTGCACAATTTTTGCTAAAAATTCACTAATAGTCATATTGGAATTCTGTTGTATGTGAAATGTTGCTCTTTCTGGTCTCAGAATGCTTATCTTTGAATTTTGATAGTTTGGTTATCGTGTGTCTTAGTGAACTCTTCTTTGGTTTGAATTTGTTTGGGGACTAGTATGTTTCCTATATGTAGATGTGAGCATCTATCCCTGGATAAGGTAAGTTTTCAGCCATTATTATTTTAAATATGTTTTCCATTTTTTTCACTTTCACAACTTTTCAGGATATGTTCAGATGTAAGCATAGTCCTATCTTCTGGGTCATAGAGCTCTTCAGAAAAATAAAATGCGAAAATAATTTGCACATGCCTGATTTCTTGATTTAGGTGCTGAGGTAACTGACAAATTATCCCTGAAGCTGCCACCGAATATGGTAGAAGAATCTGCCCGAGCCTCTGTCTCAGTTTTGGGTAAGTCCCTAGCCCCTAGTGATTTTGGTATTAACAGCTTCTACTATATTTATTTCTATAAGTACTTACTAAAATGACAATTATAATTTTAACTTCCTGTTCCTCTCCTTCTTTGGACCTGTTTATTGCTTCCAGTCATATTTATATCCCTAGAAGTCTCACCCTTCCTAAAAATTCTCATTTATTTTAGCTCAATTAATAGTTTCTTCTTAATGATTCTGGTAGGTTATATACATATATATACACACATATATATGTTATATATATAATATGTATATGTACGTATGTATATATGCATATATATACATGTATGTGCATATATAACCATATGTAATGTACATATGTATATATGTGCATATATAACCATATGTAGTATATGTACATATATACATATATATACACAAAATATATATACACCTATATAAGTATATATGGTTATATATACACATATGTATATATGTTTATATATACACATATATAAAATATATGTGTATTTTTATGTATATATATTTTTTTTTCTTTTAGAGACAGAGTCTCACTTTGTCATCCTCAGTAAAGTGCTGTGGCATCACAGCTCACAGCAACCTTCAGCTCTTGGGCTTAGGTGATTCTCTTCCCTCAGCCTCCTGAGTAGCTGGGACTATGGGCACCCACCACAGTACCTGGCTATTTTTTTGTTGCAGTTTGGCTGGGGCTGGGTTCAAACCTGCCACCCTCAATATATGGGGCCGGTGCCTTACTCACTGAGCCACAAATGCCGCCCTCTGGTAGGTTATAATCTTTAAACTGTATGACTTCTCATCTCTCTCATTCTCTAGGAGATATATTAGGCTCTGCCATGCAAAACACACAAGATCTACTCCAGATGCCTTACGGCTGTGGAGAACAGAATATGGCCCTCTTTGCTCCTAACATCTATGTTCTGAATTATCTAAATGAAACACAGCAGCTGACTTCAGATATCAAGTCCAAGGCCATTGGTTATCTCAACACTGGTGAGTGATTGAGCGAGTAGAAAATTCACATTGTCATTTCAACTAGATTTTCCTAAAAGAGACTTCAGTTGCTTATCAATACTATGATATATTAACTAATTACTATGGTAGCTACTATGATAAGAATATAATGACAGTTAATTTCACAGAAACTGTCCACTCTCCAACCTCCACTACAATGTTTAGGGCTCAGAACTTTCTAATATAAGACAACCAATTTAAGAAAAGTCACAAGAAAAGTCAACAAATTTTGGTATTTTTCTTTGGCACCAGTAATTTTCTATGTTGTTTCATTAACCTTCCATTCCAGGTTACCAGAGACAGTTGAACTACAAGCACCATGATGGCTCCTATAGCACCTTTGGGGAGCAACATGGCAGAAACCAAGGCAACACTTGGTAAGAAAAGAACAAATTTTTGAGCTCCTATTCAAGTGTCAGCTCTTTGACATCACTATTATATTTATAGCAACCGTAACAGATTTGTATTATTAAACCTATAGATGGTTATCTACATAAATACACTAAGATTAGCAAGGTAACAAACAGAAAAGCTGATATTCAAATGTATTTGTGTTGGATTTATTCCCAGAATCAATCTTTTAAATATTATACCAAGTTATTCCTTCTAAAATGACTAGTTTTTCTAAAATAACTCTTACAACCATGAGTTCTTAAATGGTGTGAACAGTGAATGTACCATATAACTTCCAGGTAAATCATGTTACCTTCAGTTTATATTGGATTTTATAGATCATACTCATCTTGACTTAGAATAAATTCTTCAATAGGGAAAAATTCATTAACAGGAGGAAATAATTGAGATGACAGTAATATGAAACATTATTTTTTAAATCCCTAAAGCAAAGCAATAGTAGACATTATTGTTGCCCATGAGAAGATTCTGTCATCTACTGAAAGAAATCTCTAAAGAAAAGAGATACTCAAAGACTTACTCAAGTGATTAAGAAAAATAAGTAAATTAGCAGTACTTAGACTTGGCAAAGGAAAAGTGAGTCATCTAACAGATTAGTCAAGGATACTAAAAGAGATAGGAGCTGAGAATGGCTGTTCAATGACTCACATCAATGTAAGAAGTGTCATATGGAGCCTGTTGCTATGAAGTCCCTATAGATCCATTCTAACAGCATAAATATCATCATCACTTTTCCCCCTCTCAGGCTCACTGCCTTTGTACTGAAGGCTTTTGCCCAGGCTCGAGCCCATATCTTCATTGAGGAAGCACACATCACCCAAGCCCTCACTTGGCTCTCCCAGAAGCAGAAGGACAATGGCTGTTTCAGGAGCTCTGGGTCACTGCTCAACAATGCTATGAAGGTAAACCGTTCTGGAGCTAGTTTTGATTTTTTCACTATGGTATCTACAAGGATGAAGAGAAGAAGGAATAATGCAGAAATACTTAAGGGTAGGTATCAGAGAAAAATGAAACCTGGATAGCACCAAGAAAGAGAGGATAGACTTTAGTTTTAGGTTAGTTATGTTATTTTACCCCATGAGAATGGCTATGGGTAAGGATAAATTGCATGACACAACAGATGGAAGGAACTGATCAAGAGCTTTCTTAGAATTACTCAAATCTCTTCTTCTCTCACATTTACAGGGAGGAGTTGAAGATGAAGTAACCCTCTCTGCCTATATTACAATTGCTCTTCTGGAGATGCCTCTCCCAGTCACTGTAGGTACCATCTCATTCCTCAACTGCAGGGTAGTTCTAGATGCAATGAAACTGCTTACCTGGCTCAGCACCTGTATCTCAGTGGTTAGGGTGCTGGCCACATGCACCAGCGCTGGCGGGTTCAAGCACGGCCCGGGCCTGCTAAACAACAATGACAACTACAACCAAAAAAGCCGGGCATTGTGGCAGACACCTGTATTCCTAGCTACTTGGGAGGCTGAGGCAAAAGAATTGCTTAAGCCCAAGAATTTGAGGTTGCCATAAGCTATGATGCCATAGCACTCTACAGAGGGCAACATAGTAAGACTCTGTCTCCAAAAAAAAAAAAAAAGAAAGAAAGAAAAAAGAAAAAATGCTCATCATCCCTGATCATTAGAGAAATGAAAATCAAAACCACCCTGAGATATCACCTAACTCTAGTGAAAACAGTGCACATCACTAAGTCTCAAAGCTACAGATGCTGGTGTAGAATACTATTCAGTCACTAAAAAAGATAGAGACTTTACATCTTTTGTATTAACCTGGATGAAAGTGGAATACATTATTCTTAGTAAAGCATCACAAGAATGGAGAAGCATGAATCCTATGTACTCAATTCTGATATGATAATTAATGACCTAGGACATGGTGGGAGTAGGGGGAAGGGGAGAGGAGAGAGGAAAGGAGAGATGGGTGTGGGGGGATCACGGTGTGTGACACACCTTTTGGGGGCAGGACACAATTATAAGAGGGACTTTAGCTAACAAATGCGACCAGAGTAACCTGGTTCTTTGTACCCTCAATGAATTCCCAAAAATAATAAAATAAAATAAATAGGCTTCTTGCAAAGAATATTCTCTAGACACAATGTAATCAAATTAGAAATGACAAAAGTAGAATTGAAAAACTGACAAATCTATGGAAATTAAACTGTACACTGTCAAACTACCAATTGATCAAAGAAGAAATTTAAAGAGAAATTTAAAAAAAGAGAATATTGAAATCAGTAACAATCATCAGAAGTGAAAATTCTACAAAAACAAAGAAGGATGATATGGGAGTACTTATTCTACAGAAACAAAGAAGGATGATATGGGAGTATTGTGAACAAATATACATTAATAAACTTGATAACCTAGATAGAATAGAAAATTTTATACCACTAAAGTTAGTCTCATTACTAATATTAGTAAAAGGTACAAAGTTTCACTTGGAAAGGAGGCTGCAGAAATCCACTGCACAGCAT